TGGAGCCGTCGAGACTTGCCGAGCCGCTCTCGGTTTAGCCACGTGGCTGTCCTCTGCTCCGGAACAATGTGTTTACCAAAATCCTCCTCGTTGAAATGCGTCAACGGACTTAAACAAACACTTGCCGGTTACACAAGCGCCCTATCTTAATTCATTTACGATAAAAGGTAATTGAGCAGACAGTTGCCTGCTCGTTCCTGATCGGGTTACTTTGTACGTATGTTGACCATCTTTTGCACCGTACATAGCCAACCGTGCTTATCGGAAGTGCGGTGTAGTGTAAAAACAGGATTCCACTCTTTTAAATTGACCAGGTGTATTATTATTATTATTTCCAATTACGTTCTACATGTCACGCCAAATGGCATACCGATATGAATACTTGAATCAGCCACTATCTGCAGTTTAAATCAAATGGCATCATGAGACGGCCCCTGGAGGAGATGTCTCGTTACCCGCTGAGACACTTCCCATCGGAGTCTCATCCACCCGCATGCATTAAAAATCGAGTTTGTATATATTTTTTTTGTATTTCTCTACAGCGGCAGTTGCGTCGATCGTGCATCGGTGACCGTGCTCGAGGCGAGCACCCACCCTCCGCACTCCGCTGAACGGGGAGAGGCACAGCCCCGCAATTAACGTGTGGCTGCTGGCCCCGCAATTAACGTGTGGCTGCTGGCGGAAGGAGCCTCCACTCGAGGGTGCTCTCGAGACACCACGCCGGGGCTACGTATTTACCGCTGGCCGGACATCTTGCAAGAAGTTGGGCAGGGTACATCCACACCTGAGGCCACCCCGCACACGACCCTGCCGACCGCCGCGACCTGCTGAGCTGTGGTTGCCGCCATTCGGACTGCTGGGCGGGCTGAAGCGGGCATCACGCGCTTTCAGATGAGCTTCTGCGGCCGTCTGAAACACCTCTTCCTTCCGATAATAGGAAGCCATGGGAGCTACACACTTCTAAATAATCTAAATTGAAAACTCATTCCCTTAGAACTGCTGTTTGTGTTTAGTTTGTTGTCCTTCCCTCCGTACCTCCGATTAGCACGGTTGGCTATGTACAGTGTGAAAGAAGTTCCACATACGTAAGGATCTTTCCCGACGCATCAACCGCCACTGGAAAAACGAACCGGCGACCTCCGGATTGCAAGTTCATCGTGATCACCGTCGCCAGCCATAACAGCATCCACAGAGGCACTCTAACAAAGTTTGAAATGATTTACCCAGGAGAGCGTGACTTTTCAGACTTTGTGAGAAGGGCTCTTTACTTTGGGAGTTGACGAACAAACCTGGAGGGCAATGAGACAACCCACGCATACAAGCGGGATAGCGTTCAAGCTTCCCAGAGGTACTTCAACCACCTACTTTGCTGGACACCAATTACACTTTCAATTATAATCATATAAAGAGTTGGCGACTGTATCATCATCTCCGCTACTCTACAAACGCAGCTCTTTATTAAAAAATGCTGGCATGTTATTTAAAAAAAGGAAGGAAAAAAACCCCATAGCCAATGCCTTATTTAATCAGAACACTTATTGAAACAAATGTTCTTTGTGTTACACAGCCGATACGTGAAACCACACTGTTTATATGCTGACTGTTCCACATTCTCACCAGTGCGTGCCTGGCAGACTTATCAGCGTCACCGGCGCTTACAAAAAGAAATGTGTAACAGTGTTCAGTTAAAGCGGCACAATGGCACTGCAGAAAAGGGCTGCTGCGGTTTTTTCTTCTGGATGCCAGAGATGTTTGCCGAAGATACAATGATGAATTGAGTTGACAAACAGACAAATCTGAATTCACTAAGGCAAGTTTATAAAAAATATATATAATGGAGTTGGCTCAGAAACAACGTTGAGCTTTTTTTTTTTCCCCTCAAATAGAAAATCCCACTTATGCCAAAAAACATCACGGATCTCCCTAATCCATTGCACAATGGGTGCAAGCAGCGGTGTAAATTCCATATTGCTATGGTGAAGACCAGTCTCTCCGCAGGGTGACACCACTGCCGCAGCTATAAATGTCAATAACTAGCCCCAAAGGCAATGTTACGCAATTAAGTGGCACGGTACAATTAATGACAAATTCCGATTTTGGCATTATTTGACTTTGCATGAATGTGACACTCAACAAAGATCGTATTTTCAGATGTTCGAGCTATTGGCGGTGGGGGTTGACAGTTCCATTCCCCCCGCAGGTGACGGTAATATCAGTGGGGAATTACCAAAGCGCACCTTTCACCTGCAACAAATTCCACGACATCGTCCAAAAGAGCCATTGCGCGGCAATGTCACGGAACAACGTGTGAACAACTTGCAACACGGACAGAGGCAACCGACTGGCTTAGAAGTCAGAGCGATGAGCTGGCTTCACTAAGACCGGACGGTGCAATCGAAAGAGCCACTTGTAACGAAACTAGGTTCCCAAGTAAAATCATCGTTTCGCGTGCTTGAGAAGCACAGGCATCGCACAAAATGTCACCCGTTTTGTATTTTTAGTTCAGGTTGAGCGTTACTGCTCTGCGCGCAAACGCAGCGTCACGTAATAATGGGGTCTGAAGTGTAACGGTCGCTGCGTCTGAGCACCGCCACCAATGACTGCACAAAAGAGCCACTGCGCTCAAATTGGGTTTCTGTTACTTTAACTTGGACAAACTCCAACTCGGGAGAATGAAGAAACATCGCTTCGATGGTGGTTTGACGGCAGCGGGGGGGGGGGGGGGGGGGGGGGGGGGGAAGAGTGCGCTCGCTTCAACATTTCGCGCTGGGAAGAGTCCAACTGGTTTCTAAGCCACGAGGGGTTTCCCGCCAAAAGCAACAACAAGAATGCGGATGCGTTTGTGCTCATGCAGGAATGACAACGCGTGCTCGTGCAAATCCTCAGAGTGTGCGAGCAGGCACGGACTACGGAGAGCGGTTACGAGGGGGAAAAAATGTCTCCGTAAAAAAAAAGTTGCTTTTTGACATGCGACTGGTTGGTTTGACATTCCATCAAGTATCGTTATTATACATGAAGTTCTTATATACGATGATGATGATGACAATTATGCCCTTCAGCAAGGCAATCCTCACCGAGTCACAAGACCCTTTGTTCGGAGGGCCCTGCATAAGCAATGTTTGGGAAATTCCTTTGATGAACAATTTGAATGTATTGGCGGCACACCGGTGCACGCTATAAAAAGAAAGCAACATATGCGCGATAATTATTTATTTTCCTACGATTCGCAAACCCGGTCAGAAAATCTCGCGGGGCGGTGGTGGTGCGTCAAAATCAGTTCGCGTGACATCGAAGCAGTCGGAAGGGCGAATAGTCAGTTAAAATTTAGATTTTAGAACCGTTTCATGAAGGCCGGTGTGTTACGCCGCACAGGTGTACCGCCAGCGCGCCCACTTGGTCAAATGTGGCATAAAACCCGGCCAGAGAACACAACAAGGCCCGACCGCACTTCCATTCCCACAGCGCCCCCTGCTGGGCGTCACGCCACGTGCATCCCGTCACGGTACTTGGCAGTGAATCTCAACTTGATTTAGTAAGGCGGCCCCCCAACTCCCCCCCCCCAAACCCATCAAGGTCACTGGTCCCCGTGACCCCCCCCCCCCAACAACCCCGCCCATCCCCAGCTCCTGTGCCCATCCTCCCACGTGACTAAGGCCCGCCATATCTCGAGAGATGCATGTTTCGATTTAAAGCTTTCGTGACTGCAAGGATTCATCTTCTTTGGTTCTTTCGGTAAAGTCACGTAGAATGAGAATAAAATAACACAATAAAATTCTCACGACGTTTCAGCCACAACGCAAGCGGCCGTCTTCAGGTGAAAGGTACGGCCGCTTGCGTTGTGGCCGAAACGTCGTGAGAATTTTATTGTGTTATTTTATTATTTTATTCTCATTCTACGTGACTTTACCGAAAGAACCAAAGAAGATGTATGTTTGTCGAACTTATTTCGCACCGCACGGAGCCAACCGTGCTAATCGGAGACGCGGGGGGTGAAGGGACAACAACCTAAACACAAAAAGCAGTTCTAAATAAATGAGTTAAATTTCGATTTAAAGCTTTCGTGACTGCAAGGATTCATCTTCTTTGGTTCTTTCGGTAAAGTCACGTAGAATGAGAATAAAATAATAAATTGATAAAATTAAATAACACAAACGTCGTGAGAATATTATTGTGTTATTTTATTTTATCAATTTATTATTTTATTCTCATTCTACGTGACTTTACCGAAAGAACCAAAGAAAATAAATGAGTTGATAATCTATACGATTTAGAAGCGCATAGCTCCGAGTGGCTTCCTAAAATCGGAAGGAAAAACGTTCCAGACGGCCGCAGAAGGGCATCTGAAAGCGCACGCGATGCAGTGATCGCCTCTGTCCGATGGCTAGCCGAAAGCCGCTGCTGCCAGGAAGACTGGAGTTTGCGGGATGCTTCATGCTCCTTGACGAGATCACACCCCGAGTCAGCGGGTTGTGAGTAAGGTGTTAATTTCACGTTGCGTATAATTGTTTTGTTGCCTCAACGTGGCACCGATGTTCGAAATTTCTCCTGCACGGTACCCATGCAGCTCCCACCTAAAGGGTTCACAAAACTTACAGAACAACGGCTGAAAGAAGACCAGTGTGAGGGCGGCGGTAAAGCGGTGGGGGGGGGAGGGGGGGGTGATGCCCGGCTCCCCTCCCCACCGTGGGAGCGCCACGGTGGGGAGATGTTAGCTACCTTGCCTTGTATACAGGAGGTCCCAGGTTCGATCCTGACCCTGACGCCCGTATATTTGGAGTTTGCATGGCTCTCAACCCGTTGTCACGTGGATTTTTCTCCGGATCTTCCGGTTTTCCCCTCCACAATTAGAAACATGCGTTCAAAGTAATTTGGCTGCTATACATTTCCCCACGATAAGCCACTTCTCGTTGAGCTATCATTTGTTCGCCAGGTCGCTCCTGAAAATAACTCGATAGCTCAGTGGGGCCTCACCTGCTAAATGAAAATAATTTTGAGTTCACCTGTCGTAGACCATCTTGAGGGTGAGGTGGTCACCAACGCCTTCCACCTCCTCGAGGTAGAGCACCACCCAGGAGGTGCGGTAGGGCCACTGCTCCGTCATGTTGATCCACGTGGCCAGGCGGTCCCAGTTAAACTGCACCTGGTTGGCTCGCAGCAGGCGCCCTTGGTTGGCGGGGCGGGAGAGGGGGCAGCAGCGCCGGCGTGGCTCGTTATCTCCGCAGCAGGCCTATACGCGTCGCGCAATTGCTCTGGCCAAGTTGAGGCAGTGTGAATGATAATGAAAGCGGTGATGTCTTCTTTCTCTTGAGTTTTATATTCATTATTGTATTCAACAAAAAAGTGAGTGGACTTGTGTATGTATGCGTGTGTGTGTACTTCTTTCGCACCGTACCTAGACAACCGTGCAAGGCAGGCTAAGGTCAAGGGGTCACTACGGGCAATGCTTTGGACGGCACCACACCTTGCCATCGTTTCCTTATAATTTCCCAGGGTGTTTTTTGCAGACGTTTCATTTCTTGGCCTCCAATCTCCGGGTGCCCTTCCAATAATGCCCTGGTAACCTGACCACTCACTTCCTGCACACGTGTCCCATTCATCACAAAGCTCCTACGCAAAAAAACTTAGAAAGCGTTTACGCCACGCCGCCACGGTGTTCCATCCTCCGCAAAATTCCAACCACTGCACCTGCAAGGCTATTTAATACGAATCATGCCCATTGTCACGAAAGACTCATCTGTTAGCACTACAGTTGGACACACGCGCCCTCCCGCGCGGAATTGCGGGACCCTCGGAACCGGTAAAGTTATTTTATTTTGGTTTTCCTTCCGATTCCGTTTTGATGACGTACACGTACGTCATCGGAATGGGAAAGGGTTAAGAACAAAGTATCTAAGTTCTGAACTTGGGGCTCGCGGGATGCGGCCATGGCCTGGCAACGGATGCGAGGTGACGAGTCAAACAATCGCACTGCGGTTGGGAACGGGGTCACAGTTGGCGATTCCGCTTGGTTGCAGCGCGCTTTTAACGAGCGGCGGTCTTTTGTCCCTTGTGCGCGCGCGTGCGTGTGTGTGCATGTGCGTGCGCGTGTGTGTGCGCGTGTGTGTGCGCGCGTGTGTGTGTGTGCAGGCTCACCTGTGAGGGACACGACATTGAGAAGCCTCCTCATCGTCTGAGGGTTGATATCGCTGAACCAGTCCTCCGTGACCAGCAGCTTGGAGAGGTCAAACGACATCTGACGCGTCAACTGGTGTGCCATCTGCCGCCGTTTCAAGGTCTCCTGCTGCCGCGCGTCAGGCGAGGGGGGGGGGGAAAAAAAGGTGTTGAGGTGGCGACTGACGCAATGGTAGCATGCGAACAACCGTCACAAATTTATCCTGCGAGTCTCAAAGGAGTGTCATAGTGAGGGTCTGTGTGCACCTGCATCGAACAAACCGATGCAGGTGCACACAGAGGGCATGTGTGCGTAATAATAATCCATGTACTACACAATGCGAAGTACAACGATTATAACCAGCGTGTTAAATTCTGAACGTCTCTATGCCGTGTGTTTCAATAAACTCGACATCTCTCGGTGTCTACTTCCTTAATGCGGATAACCCTCGAGGTGAATGACTGGAGTGGGGGTGGTCAATTATTTTTTTAGGAAGGGCTTTTGCGCGTGCTGGAGGAAATGAGAGTACCGGATAAAAATACACGCGGCACCAAAGGATAACCGCTAAAACGAGTTCCGCACCTGGCCTCAAATCGCACCTCGCCCGGCACGGAGGCGACATCACCTCTCGGTAGCGTAGCGGCCGTCCTTGTTGCGTGTCTATGTGTGCGCACACGTAAGTGTGTACGTGTGTGTACGTGGGGAAATGTGCGCACAAGTATGTTTATGTGTTTGCGTTTCTCTCTAAAAACATCGCCACGAGGGGGACAAAAGCGGCCGGGCGTGGTGCTGGCCACCCACCCCCTTCGTGTGCCATTAAGGCCCTCATCGGTGCTCGCTAACAGCACCTTCCCCAACAGTCTGTGAAGGCTATACGGGGAATCTTTGTCTTTGTTTATGGTATTTGAGTCAGTGAGGTCATACCCGGCGGGTGAGGGAGATCTTGCTGCCAATCTTCGTGAGCTCCCCGAGGCTATGCTGGGACGGCTTCTGCTCCCCGTCATCGAACCAGGCTGCGGCCACACAAGCACACACACGCACACACACACACAAGCACACACAAGCACACACACGCACACACACACACAAGCACACACACGCACACACACACACACACGAGCACACACACACGCACACACACACACAAGCACACACACAAGCACACACACGCACACACGCACACACGCACGCACACACGCACACACACAAGCACACACAAGCACACACGCACACATGCACACACGCACACACACGCACACACGCACACACGCACGCACACACGCACACACACAAGCACACACAAGCACACACGCACACATGCACACACGCACACACACGCACACACGCACGCACGCACGCACGCACACACGCACACACGCACACATGCACACACGCACACACGCACGCACACACGCACGCACACACGCACGCACACACGCACGCACGCACGCACACACGCACACACACACGCACACACGCACACACACACGCACACACACACGCACACACGCCGTTCAATATACACAGTTCCTATTTAGCAGCGGTTCCCAACCTTTTTGGGACCAGGGACCGGTTTCGTGGACGGGGGGGGGGTGTTCATCATTGAGTCTTTCCCCCTTTTCAAAGAAGCTCTCCAGCGACGTTTGTTTTTTACTCATTGTGGCTACTAGGGGGTTAGAGCGTGTGGGCTTTATACCAACACTGTGACTGAGACAAGTGCGCAGTGTGGGAAAGAGGCACAGATGGAAGTGGTAAATAATAAAATAATGGGCGGGCCACGCACGGATTCACCGCTCTCACCTCCTGCTGTGCGGCCCGGTTCCTAACAGGCCACGGACCGGTACCGGTCCGCGGCCTGGGGGTTGGGGACCCCTGCTATATAGAATACAGAAAGCATGTGTTCACGTGGGGGGTGGTTTTCGAATATTTTGGGGGGTTTTTCTAAAACGATATTCAATTTGTGCTGAGAGCTATGTGGAAGTCGTTCAGAAAGGGCGTCATTATTCATGATTGTTGTTATGCTCGTTCACGCAGAACAGCTCGAGTCTCACGACTCATTGTCAGGAGGGTTCTTGAGAAGTTTCCATCGTAGGGGGCGAGGATTGCTACGTATGCATGTTGACCTTCTCAAGCACGCACCGTACGTAGCCAACCGTGCTAATCGGAGTTGTGGTGGAAGGACAACAAACTAAACCCAAAAGGAGGTTAGAAAGAAATTCGTTTTCAATATAGATGATTTAAAAGTGCAGAGCTTCAGTGGCTTCCTAATATCGGTAGGAAGAGCGTTCCAAATGGGCCGCAGAAGCGCATCTGAAAGCGCGCGATGCGGTGACCGTCTTTGTTCGATGGTCAGCCGAAAGCCGCTGCGAGGATGACCGGAGTTCACATGATGGTTTATACTCCTGGACGAGATCAACAAGATAGTGTGGTTCATTTGTGCAAAGCACTTTGTGTGGAATTAGTGCGACCCTATAATTTATCAGTTCAGCAACCAGTAGCCAATGCAGCTCGGCAAGCAGTGGACAGACACAGAGTAGTCGTTGGATCTTGCAGCAGCCAAGCATCACGACACGTGCCAAAAGATATACCGCACCAATTGAGGAATTTGAACGGAACATAACCTCATGTTAGAGAATAGCCTCGAAAAGGAGAAATCAAGAAACTCCTCAAAAGATTCCAGTCAATCGCCTCTCATTCACACTAAGATGGTACAATGTCTTGCATGCCCCTCTACAGAGCTATTTGTGGCATGGCAATCAAACCGACACATTGTTTAAAAAGCCCTCCGAGCAGGAAGAGACCAATTCAAGCGATGACAAACCAGACAAAAAAATAAAGAAAGAAAAAAAAAACACGACGTTGTAACCCCTGCAGCCACTGCCTTTATCTGGCAGAGGAGGTCCCCCGGACCGGTTCAAGCGCAAGCCGGGGGAGCTCACCGACGGTGGCCTCGTGGCCGGGCACGTCGCCATTGGCGGCAGGGCCAGCCGCCACGGCCAGCCGGCGGGCCATGGGCGGCCCACGGTTGTTGAGGAAGAAGGGCAGATGCACGACGTTGCGCATGTAGTCGTGCCCATTGATGTTGGAGTCGCGCAGCACGCTGTTCAGGTTCTGGTTGATGGCCTTGATGATGATGTGCGGGTCGCTCGCGAAGATCGAGATGAACGGCGCCTGCGAGAAGAGGATGCGCACCTGCGGTGGGGGGGGGGGGGGCGGGGAGGTGTGGGTTGGAAAACGGCACCAACGTCACCGCTTGCGTCGCCGCTTCATGCGTCACTGCGCGGGTGTATGTATATATATATTTTTTTCTGTGTGTCGGGAGGTGTTCTGGTTTCTGCTGTCGCGAGCTCGTTCAACCCCGCAAAGCCTGGCCCGTGCCTCATGACTTTCTCAGGAGGGTCCTGCCAAGTTTAGATGTGTTGAGTAAACGCATATAAACGTGTGTTCGAACACCAAATACAAACCTATTTGCAAGGCATATCATTTTTTCATCATGTTGATATACAGTGAAACCTTGTATTGCGAGCATAATTCGTTCCGGAAACGTGCTCGTAATCCAAAGCACTCGTATATCAAAGCGAATTTCCCCATAAGATATAATGGAAACTCAGATGATTCGTTCCACAACCCAAAAATGCTGTATTCATATAAAAAATATTAATACAAAATACTTTTTTTAAATTTGTATTATTTAAATTCAATATAAAATAACCAAATTGTGGCTGGTGTGAGGGAGACGAGAGAGAGGAGGAGGAGGGTTATTGTGTAGGACGACTTTCACTTGCAGTACAGTTACTAAAGAACAGTCACTACACTTGGACACAATAAAAAAAATGATTTCGATTTAAAGCTTTCGTGACTACTTGTGTTGTGGCCGAAACGTCGTGAGAATATTATTGTGTAATTTTATTTTATCAATTTATTATTTTATTCTCATTCTACGTGACTTTACCGAAAGAACCAAAGAAGAAAAAAAAATGCTTCACACACACACACGTGGTCACAACACTATACTGTAGTAAACAGTATACACGTGGTCACAACACTATAGTACTGTAGTAAACAGTATACACGTGGTCACAACACTATAGTACTGTAGTAAACAGTATACACGTGGTCACAACACTGTAGTAAACAGTATACACGTGGTCACTATACTGTAGTAAACAGTATACGCTCGCACGGATGTTGACTATACGAGTGAGGCACGCCGACTGAGACCGAGCATGGGAGATGATTACCCACAATCTCGCAGCGAGAGAGAGAGAAGAACCGTCGTCTCAGTTGTGATCACGTGACGCTCGGCAGACAAAGCGTATACTGTACGTACTGCTCGTATTGCAAGACATCGCTCGTTTATCAAATTATTATTTATGTTAAAAGATGCTCGTCACACAAAACACTCGCAGACCAAGTTACTCGCAATCCAAGGTTTCACTGTACTAGAAAAAAAGGTCCCAAAGATTTAACTGTTAAACCCGAGCTATCATACTGTTCCGCCTTTTGGAGATCTCGCGTGACGAGGCCATAACGAAGGCTGGTGTAGGCAAATCAATTTCAAAGACAATGCATATATGACCAGAGCATGTTTGTTTGCATGTTTTGCCACAAGTATGTGGTGGTTGCTGCACACTTGATGCCTTGCAATAGGTATCTATTTTGTGTTTGAACACTGTAACACCTGTTTTATTGCCCGAAAACGAAGAACACGCAAACTCCAAATATACAGGCATCAGGGTCGGGATCGAACCCACGACCTCCTGCATACCAGGCAAGGTAGTTAACATCTCGCCACCGTGCTATCGGGATCACAGTGGAAAGATGAACAGAGGGATTAACTGGCTGCATTCGCTCCCAACCAAGAATTTAACATTTGAGTAAAGATCTCTGACCACGATTCCACTCATCAACAAACCCAGCAGTGTCGCTTGTGCTGTTGCCCTGGAGACAAGGAGATCGATGATTGATGTTCGGTCACCGCGTTGATAGCAACCATCGTGATTTTTCACTTAACAGTGGTGCCGCGTGCAGGCTGCCAACTTCAACTCAGAGCGATGAGGGGGTTCGATGTATCGGAGCCATTCGCCACTAAGTGACGGTAACGTCACCACGGCGCCTGTGCCAGGCCAGGTGCACTTTGAGACCACGTGATGTGTCGAAGGCTCTCTAATGACAGAAGGCCATGGTACAAACCCAGGTGCCATGGGTTAACGGACTGAGATGACTGGTAGATGCACCAGCTGTGCCCCCTACTGTGCCAACTCGCTGTGTTTAAGCCACTCGGCGCTGCGCTCGTTGTTGTGAGCGTCGCTCCTCTTGCCCTCCATTGTTGTTGTTGGGGGTGACCCAGCACTCCAACACATGCACACAATTAGCCTACGAGCTCTGGTGCTGCTAAAAGAAGCAGAGAGATTCGCCCTGAATTGTTAGAGAAACCGAAGACTGCCCCACCGTGTCCAGCATTTGTAGAACTCTGTCCTGCTCGCACGTGTCGAGCCCGTCCACGATCACCACCAGCCGCGTCTGGTACTGAGTGAACGAATCCAAGGTCTTCGTCATTTTGGCCATCAAATCCACCTCCGACTTCAGCACCTGCGGGCAACACACGACACCGGCACACAGTTACACACAAGACGAGAGCAATGCACGCAAAACAGGGGGAGTCGCGGGGTCGGCCTGCTCACCCACACACGTGGCACAGACACGTACAAAGATCGCCCGGATACCCTGAACAGACTGTTGGGGCAAGTGTCGTTAGCGAGCAGCTATGAAGGCGCAGCACAGCACACGAGGGGGTGGGCGGCCAACACCACTCCCGACCGCCTTTGTCTCCCCAATAACGATATTTACGCACTATACAAGGTAGTTATTTGAGGCCGAGTGGACCTACGGGAGGCCCAGGACCGGTTCTGGTAATCGTCACCAGTGTTGGCCGTGAGCGGGTCGCCGGGTTTGGTGTAGTGCAGCAATTACCCACACAACAACAACAACCGCCATTCGCCACTAAGTGGCGGTGCTGTCACATCCGCGCTTGTGCCAGGCTATGTGCACTCTGAGGCCACGTGAAGTGTCGAACACCCGCTGGCAGGTGGTGACGGGACAGACCCAGGTGCCTTGGGCTGACTGACCGAGATGACCGGCAGACGCGCAGTCACGAATCACCCACACACACGTGCTCGCGCACACGCACGCACGCACCTTCATGAACCCCTCCATCTTGAGCTTGTTGTGCGAGGAAGCGGCGGCCGCCAGCAGCCGCTGGCGCTGCGAGCGCAGCAGAGAGACCAGCACCCGCCACGCCATGGGGGCCTTGGCGACGAGCGCCATCGCCACGACGGACGAGACGGCGATGAGCGCCCCGCGGAGACGCACGTCCGTGTGCGCCTCCGCGGCCGCCAGCAGCACAACGAGCGCCACCACGCAGCCCAGCACCAGCACCATGAGCAGCACCGACGGCAGGCAGCACGACTTCTTCCAGCGGCCCACGCCTTTCTTGCCTGCGCGCCGGGGGGGGGGGGGGCGATCACGGGCGATGTGGAGAAAGACCCCCCTCTCTGACCCTGCGCCACCTCCGTCGTAAACGCCACGCACCCCCTAACGTTTCCCCCACTCATCCCCCTCCCCCCCCCCCGTCCGACTCCACACACGGATTCAAGACGTGGTAGAGCCGTGAGTTTAATGCCCCGCGGCACGAATCGCCGGCCCGCGTAGTGAGGTTACGGTGGGCGAGACGGCGAACACGCGGTGTGCCGAGCCACGAGTCTCTCTCTCCCCAACTCGGGTCGGTCCCTCTAACTTCGCGACATTGTTTACGTTGAGGTGGTTGACCCGTTGAGCATCTTTCGCCTAGAGACGCGTTTAATTTCTAGACTCTGAACACGTTTCATTGCTACACTTAAAGACGATGTTTAGCCATGCGTGGCTGAAACCCCGATTCCAACTCGGAGCCTCAGTGGCGCCAAGCCAACGTTGTGACACAGTCTTAGCCCTCTGAACTGCACAGCCACCAACTAAGTTCCATATTTTTGACCTGCATTTCCGAAGCCAGTTGAAATCTGTTACTCTCACAATTTAAACTAAACCATTTTTATATTTAATCATTAGGCCTCCCTTTGCCAGTACCAAAATATAATAATAGGGTTCTTCCCCTTTTTTCTGGCAACAAAACTGAAACCTACGTATGCCTTTTGGCGTCATCTGGTCGAGCACCAATTGGGTCGAGGCTCAAGAGAAAGCCGTTCCTTGGTGTGGACCAATCAGTTTCAAGGACAATGCATCATATATTATCGTGGTATGTTTTTTGTTTGTATTTTGACTGCAGGTATTGTGGTTAATGCAGACATGAATCCTTGTAAAAAGGTTTCAGTTTTGTTGCCAGAAAAAAGGGGAAAAACCCTATTATTACATTTTTTATATTCTTGGTTCTTTCGGTAAAGTCACGTAGAAGGGAAACAATAAAATAATAAAAATATTAAACAATAAACCATTTTTATATTTCACCAGTTAAGACCCACTGAGCTGCATAGCTCTTTTTCAGAAGCGACCTGTCCACAAATGATAGCTCAACGAAGTGGTTTATTATCACGTGGACATGTCTATCAGCCGAACACTCTAAACGCACGCCGATTCTAAAAGTGGAGGGAAAAACCGGAGGACCCGGAGAAATATCCACGAGACCACGGGGAGAACACGCAAACTCCAAATATAGGCATTGTCAGGGTCGGGATTAAACCCACGACCTCCCGCACACCAGGCGAGGAGTATAAGATCTCGCAAACACATCACTCCCCAAGACTAGAGAGTCGCGGTGGGAGAAGTAGCACGAGGAAAGCGAGGTGGCCGGGGGGATTGGGGGGGGGTGTGTATCTGACCGCGCTTGCCTTGAGTGTTCTCGGTGCGAAAAACTCTGTAGAGGCGCGTCACCAGGAAGCCAAACTCGCGCTCGCACGCGTCGCACAGCGTGGCGACCATCTCCGCGATCGATGTCTCGCCGCCCACGCTCGTCAGCCGACTGTAGTCCGTGAACAGGAACCTGACGGACACGGGCACATGGATCTGTTTGAGAGGGCGAGCACGTGGCAAATACAAACATCCCCAGTGTAGCCTCAACAGAATGTTTGGGGGCAAGTGCTGTTAAGCGAGCACCTACGAAGGCCGGCACGGCGAAAGAGGCGGTGGGTGGCCAGCACCACGCCCGGCCACCTTTGTCTCCCCAGTGGCGATGCTTTTATACACCGCACTAGGTACTCCTTTGAGGCTAAGTGAACCTGGGAGAGGCCCAGGATCGGTTCAGATAATCGTCATTGGTGTCGGCCATGAGTAGAAATCGAACTCTGGTCGCCGGGTTCGTAGCGCAGCGCACTAACCGCTACACTACTGCTCCCCACACACACACTTAACGATACCGCCGAGTAAGTCAACTTGATCGATTCTCTGTTGGGTTCAGTCAGTATGTATGTATACTGAACTTCTTTGGCACCGTACATAGCCAACTGTGCTAAGCGGAGATTCAAGAGACTCGAAGAGGAGTCGGACAGACTTGAGCCACACTGTCGAAGCCTTGTGTCGGCTTACCGAGCGTGTAAGCCGGGGTTTCACCACTTGGTACGTTCAACTTGCTCGACTCGATCGAACAACTAGGACTGAACTCAGGACAGCGTCTACCGCTCCACCCGTGTCGAGGATCACTATGGACACGACCAGTGCCACAAGCCAACTGATAGAGACGCAACGACAGACGTTAGTGAACTCCGCAGTTAATATCATCAACTCTGCTCGTGGCATCACGCAACAACTTGTTGTCCAGAATTCGCTTTGGGTCAACAACTCTTTTCCATGCTGTGCTTCTGCAGTGAGGGGCAACGCTGAGCGCCGCAGTGGCAAGATGTTATCTCCCTCGCCTGGTATGCAGGAGGTCGTGGTTTCGATCACGACCCTGAGGCCTGCTTTATATTTGGAGTTTGTGTGTTCTCCCCGTGGTCGCATGGATTTTTCTCCGGGTCCTCCGGTTTTTCCCATGATAACCCACTTAGTTAAGCTGTATTTTGTGGTCAGGGCCCTTCTGAAAAAGCACTATATAGCTGAGTGGGCCTTACCTGGTAACATAAACATTGTTTAAGTTTAGTTTCATCCAGTGGTGGATAGATCACGGCCGAGGTTGACGCAACCTTGCCTAGCCCTGCCTCGCCATGCGTGTACGTTGAACTTCTTTCGCACCACACATAGCCATAATAGGAGGTGCGGGGGGGGAAGGACAGGAAAATAAACACAAAAAGCAGTTCTAAAGAAATTCGTTTTCAATGTAGATGATTTAAAAGTGCAAGGCTCCAGTGGCTTCCTATTATCAGAAGGAAGAGCGTTCCAGACGGCCGCAGAAGCGCATCTGAAAGCGGGCGCGCGCGATGTGGTGGTGACCGTCTTTTGTTCGATGGCTGACTTGCTGCGCCCTTGCCCCCGCCTGAGTCTCCTCACCTGACGGGCAGAGCCCGCGTGGTCTGCTCGGGCAGCTCGGGGGGGTTGGTGAACACGAGCTGCAGCAGCAGCTCCACGTAGCACAGCTGCCGTGCCAGCCACGTGCTCGCCAGCCATGCCCACGTCCATCCCTCGCGCTCCTGCTGCCCTCCAAAGTAGACGACCACTAGGGGGGGGGGTGAGGTGCAGCAGGCACGAGTTAAGTAAGGGAATGAATGAACGAGTGAGCAAATAATTGAATAATTGGGTGAGCGAGCGGGCGACCGAGCGACTGACTGAGTGAGTGGGTGGGTGGGTAGGTGGGTGGTTGGCAGGGTGAGTAAGGCAGCGGGTAGCTGCCGTGCGTGCGTGAGTGACTGAGCAAGCGAGTGCATGGGTGGTTGAAAGTGTGAGAAAGGTAGTGCGTGCATGAGCAAGCGAGCGAGCCATTGCAAGTCAGCGCATAAGTGAGTGGGTAAGCGAATTAGTGAGGCAGGGAAAAGGCTCAGAAGCATCAATTAATTAAGTGGCTCGTTTAACTTACCCAGAAAAAGTCAGTTGCACAAAGACGTCTCAATTTGTCAATCGCTTAATTGTAAAAATCAAACGACTCAAGTAACCAACATAATTTATGAAGTTATAAACTATATTGAAAAGGTTAAATCCCAAGCTCATATGAGCGTGTCATCGCCACTCATTGCGAAAGGCGGCGCTGCGCGAGAAGTGAACATCCCATATCCCTTGACCAGTCTCTCGGGAGGACAACCACCGGGGGAATTTTCACAAAACAGTACCTATTTTATACACTCCGGCGAGATGATTAAAATGGGATGGGTGAACAGCTGAATGGAATTCTGGCCGGTGGGATTTCGTGTTTGTAACTTGCGTTTGGTACATGTGCAAGTAAGATCTATGTTTTTGTCGAACAAAAAGACAAAGATCCCCCGTATAGCCTGTAACAGACTGTAGGGGCAAGTGCTGTTAGCGAGCACCTATGAAGGCCGGCACGGCACACGAGGGGGTGGGTGGCCAACACCACGTCCGGCCGCCTTTGTCTCCCTCGTGGCGATGTTTACTACACATCGCACCAGGTACTCATTTGAAGCTGAGTCGACCTAGGGGAGGCCCGGGACCGGTTCAGATATTCATCACCGGTGTTGGCCGTGAGCGGGAATGGAACCCGGGCCGCCAGGCTCGTAGCGCAGCGTAGCGCTAACCGCCACGCTGCTGCCTAACACTGACATAAAGACACGCGAATCGGGGGAAAAAAGGCAGTGCAAACGCAACGTAGGAGCGAGAGGCGCCGGCACAAAGCGAGTTGTGCTGCCGTGGGCGCACGGCGGAGTCCGGTGTCGCTGCAGCGACGCTCACCGAGGAAGACGTAGAAGAAGGCCAGGAGGCTGAAGGCCACGGCGAGGCCCAGGTTGGGGTCGACGGTGACGGCGAGCACGAGGCCCAGGACGGACGCGAAGGCCAGCGTCAGCATGACCAGCAGCCAGGAGAAGCGTAGCAGAGGCTCGATCTCCTGGCCCGCAAACGTCTTCATCTCGTCTGCGATGGAGACAGGGGGACGCACTCGTGAGGCGGACGCACGAGCGAGACAAAGGTCGTCCCTCCCCCGCCCCCAACCCGCGGGCTCGACGCTCCGCCTGTTGTTCGAGCGCTGTCACAGCGAGCGCCGATGAAAGCCAGCGCGGCGCGCGGGGCGGCGGGCCGGTCGGGCGGGCGGGCGGGCGGTCGGCCGGCCGGCACAACGCCCCGGCCGCCTCTCTCCCTCCCCCCGGCGGTGGTGTTGGCGCACCGCACCCGGCACCCATTCAAGGCGGAGTTGGCCGAGGGCAGTGTTCTACACTAATTTCTAATTTTCAGGGGGGGGGGGGGGGGGGGGTGAGGGGGCCACACTTTCGCCGATAAGACATCAGCATGAGGGCCGCCGCACATTTGAAACCGGTGGGTTTGACGGCGCGACGGGGGTGTGTCAGGGGCAGCGCTAAAGGCCCCCCAGGGGGCCGCCAGTGGCCCGCGCACGCCTTGCAACAAAGAACACAGCCTAGGGGGAGGACGCCCCGGGAGAGGTCGCGAGCAGCCGGCCAATACCTTCGAGTTTCTTGAGCAGGAAGGACTTGCCGCTGCCCCACTGAGCGTAGAGGCCCACGCAGATGGGCGGCTGCATGGTGGGCTCGCTGAGGATGTCGGCGAGAGCGCTGCTGTACAGGTCGTAGCCCAGCATGTCGCCGTCCGCCTCGTTCGGGGACAGGTGCCCTGCACGCACGCACGCACACGTATGCATGTACTGTATCTATCTATGCTGAACGTTTTTCGCAGCGTACGCAGCCAGCTGTGCTAAAACAGAAGTGCGGGGGAAGGACAACAAACTCAACACAAAAAAACGATTCTGAAGAACTGAGTTTTCAATCGAGATGATTTAAAAATGCGTGGCTTCAGAAACGCCCGGCGCATTGTCCCGCACTTGCGTGCACACCTCAACAAAAACAGCACGTTAAAAAAAGAAAGCGCATAGCTCCAGTGGCTACCTAACATCGGAAGAGCATTCCAGACGGCCGCAGAAGGGCATCTGAAAGCGCGCGCAATGCGGTGACTGCCTTTGTTCGATGGCCAGCCAAAAACCGCTGCTGCGAACGTGACCGGAGGTCGTGCGATGGTTGTGTGCTCCTTGACGAGATCAGCAAAGCTATTGTGGTTCGCTTGCGACAAGAAACGCCCTGCGTGCTGCGAGTGTTGAGACCTTGGCTTTTCAGCCACTCGAGGCCGCCACATTCACTGCGGACGAACGGAGCCGACGCGTACGCAAGCGCTTTCAAACTCGCCCAGAGACGCGAGCGTTTGTACAACAAACAAAAAAAACACAACGAAAGGGTAAGACAGCGGCGACTCACGTGCTCCGAAGATCTGCGTGAGGATGCTCTTGTGGTGGCCGCAGTCGATGTTGTAGGGCGTCTCGCCCGCCTTGTTGGGACGGTAGAGCAGCCGGCCGTCCTTGGGGTTGCGCAGGAGCAGTTCGGCCAGCTTGCGGCTGCGCCCACGGATCGCGATGTGCAGCGCCGTGTCCCCGTTCTGGCATGCCCAGTTCCGGCCCGACGCCACCGCCGTTAGCCACCGCCGTTAGCCACCGCCGTTAGCCACCGCCGTTAGCCACCGCCGTTAGCCACCGCCGTTAGCCACCGCCGTTAGCCACCGCCGTTAGCCACCGCCGTTAGCCACCGCCGTTAGCCACCGCCGTTAGCCACCACCGTTAGCCACCGCCGTTAGCCACCGCCGTTAGCCACCGCCGTTAGCCACCGCCACGAAGGCGCGTGGGGGCGACGCGTCGATTCGCCGACTCAAACAGGCTCGCACGCTCACGGTGTGGTCATCAAATCGTGCATGTGATCATAATGATGCGTAATTGATGCACATTAAGATCCGAAGTCATGCAACTTCCTCGCTGTTCCAATGTCGATACCCGACTCCTGACCCCCAAGGTCTGCTCCAAAGGTCATTTATCTGACCTCTGGGTGCCACTCTCACGCGCGACTTGGGTGACCTGCCCACCTCCCCCCTCCGCCACCCCGCACACATGAGCGCCTAAGCACACACGGTACTCGCCTTGTCGGCAGCAGAAACCTTGGCGTTCTTGTTCAGCAGCAGCTGGACGATGTCAACATTCCTCATCTTGGTGGCCTTGATGAGAGGCGTATCGCCATCCTGCCAACAGAGACAACGACGGAGCTCCCTTATCCCGTGCAGATGCAGCAGCAATTCAGTGGATAACGCTTACAAAAGGGCGGTTTCAGTCAACGTACGCCAACCGTTTAATAGAATAGTGGAATCTTGACTTCGTGGAACTCTTTTTATCCGCACATTATTTGGCGATACCGGAGCGGAAGATGGGAGCCTTCAACGCGACCCACTCCGTTAAGTGAGAAATCACGGAATGCCTTCAAAGTGGAGACCGAACATCGATCACCGATCTCTCGCTCTCCAGAGCAACAACAACACAAGCCACGCCGACGGCCCTGTTCAGAGCCAAACAACGCGCCAGATAGGTCCCCGGGGACAAGGATCCTCCAACTGAACATTGAGGGGCTCTCCCGGGCGAGGTGAGATTATCTCGCAAACATAATCAAAAAGGAGCCATCACAGTGATACACTCCGCTCCTCCCGACGCCATTATCTGGCTTGACCACCTGAATGTGAAATTGTAGTTATTGCTCTCCATCTACATCGGCCTTCTGAAAGAAGAAGATTTGGCGACATTGCGTTGGCATTGGCGCACGAGCACAAATAACAACAAAACTCAACAAATATCATCGACTAATGCGTTGAGTTTATTTAATCCACAACCAACTAAGCCACGACACCTATTATCCAGGTGTTCTGACCAATCCACATTTCATCCCAGAATTTTGGCATTGGTTCATCCCGGAATTTTGGGATTGACTCATCCCGCTGCCCGTGACATTACGGACAGTAATAATATGAACGTGAATGCTGCTAGTTTCATTCAAATAAAGGGAACAACCTTGCAGTTATCATTTTTGCAATGAATAAGAGGAGATGAGTTTAAACGTCAATGGAAGATCTGCGATTGTTTGCAGCTGAGGGGAGAGTTAGGATGAGTATTCGTATTGAAGTGGGAAAAACCTCGTGCTCTCTATCTGCACCCCTGGTGAACGAGTCGTGCCGACACCCAGTGCAGTCTTCCCGGAATGAGAAGAAACGCACTGTAAATGTATTGTAAATGTATTGTAAACGCATTGTAAATGTATTGTAAATGCATTGTAAATCTTGACTTAAAGCTTTCGTGACTGCAGGAATTCATATTCTTTGGGTCTCTCGGTAAAGCCACGTAGATAGACCCTTGGGCTACACCCATCTCAAACCTTTATAACATCCTGCCTTAGCAGCAGACTCGCCACATATTTTTCCTGCCTCAGCAGCTCTCCCACTATATTTTTCACCTGATGATGACTGCTTGTGTTGCGATCGAAACGCCGTCATATTATTATTTTATTATTTTAATATCTACGTGGCTTTACCAAAAGACCCAAAGAATATGCATTGTAAATGTAGTCATTCATCGGGTGTCAACATGTCATTGCTAAGCAGCGGGATTCATCACCGAGCTCTGCCATGCGCGGCAGTCCAAGGATGCCGGTCAAGAACGCGAATTTTAACGCAGAGACGCTTCGACAGCGACAGCAACCGATTTCCGGGACGTGCGAAACATAGGCCACCAGTCCCAACTTATTCAAGCAGTCATTTAAAATGTACGCTTCGGCTAAAGTTGCTATACAGGTAGAGTACACATTTTACGTGAACCGGCGGTGTGAACCGTTGAATTATTTACGTATCTACCCGTGTGTTCGACTGGGTGTTAGAATCACCGTAAAAATACAACATTTGGCGCACGCATCGGTACGCGTTTGCTACGTACGTGCGCCAATCGACAGCGTGGACCCGCAGTGCAAACAAGAGGTTCCATCCTCGAGGGGTATCCCGAGGTATCATTTTATTTTTTTTGCAAACCAACGGAAGCGCGGCGCCCACCTCACCTTCGTGTGGATCTCGGTGTCGGGGTTGCACTCGAGGATGTCACACACGATGGTGGAGTTTCCCTTCTCCACGGCCCAGTACAGCGCGGTCTTGTTTTCCTGTCCCCCACGCACATCAAAGACAAATATTATCCCGTATATAGCCTCAACAGACTAATGGGGCAAGTGCTGTTAGCGACCAGCACCTATGAAAGGCCGGCACGGCACACGAGGGGGTGGGTGGCCAGCACCGTGCACGGCAGCTTTAGTATCCCTAGTGGCGATGTTTACACACCGCACCGGGGTACTCATTTGAGGCTGAGTCGACCTAGGGGAGTCCCAGGACCGGTTCAGATATACATCACCGATGTTGGCCGTGAGTGGGAATCGAACTCGGGTCGCCGGTTTCATAGCATAGTGCGCTAACCGCTACACTACCGCTCCCCCACGTACAAAGACAACGATCCTCCATATAGCCTGGGCAGACTGTTGGAGCAAGTTCTGATAGCGAGTATACACACACACACTGATTTAGCGACAGATCGACTGGGCAGCGAGGACCCTGTCCGACCAAGGCCCTGTGCATTCAACAGAAGAGGCAGCAGGCAGCAGAGGAGAAACGGCGAGCCAGAATCCAATTAGCAGAGGTAACTGGTGGTGTCGGTTATCGGCGAAGAGTAAATGGACGATTCGTTTTTTTACACAATTAAAGTTAAACAACAAATAATTATCGGCGCATGCGACAGACAACATGGTGCATGGTGCGGAGTTCCAGGATACGAGCCAAGTGAAGTGTGCGGGCTGGGGTGTGCATGGGGGTGTGGTGTGAAGTGTCCCACATTGTGGTGGGGGGGGGGGTGGTGATGCAGAGGGGGGGAGATGAGTGGGTTGCTGATGGGGGGTGGGGGGGCGTGTTGTGAGGCAGGGGGCCAGGTTACTGTGTGATGTAATCGAGGGGGTCCATCAAGGATTTAAAAGATGGGGAGAGCAAAACTTTAGTCAATCCATACTCTCTGGTTCTTTCGGTAAAGTCACGTAGATAGAAAAAATAATATAACACGACGTTTCGGTCGCAACACAAGAATCCGTCATCAGAACCAGAGAGTATGGATTCCTGCAATCACGAAAGCTTCAAATCAAGATTTAGTCAATCCCTGATTGGATGTGGAACTGGTGGAGGAGATGAGCTCAAGATGCCATCATGGCCAAAGCCGTTTATACCACAACCACAGCTCACCAATTCAGTTTTCCCTCCATGAGATGACACGCCACAGTAACGAGATGTTAACTATCTCGCCACGGTACGCAAATGGTCGTAGATTCAAACCCAACTCTGACGCCCGTATATTTGGAGTTTGCATATTTTCCCCGTGGTTGTGTCGTTATTTCTCCAGGTACTCTGGTTTTTCCCGCTCAACATTTTAGAATCAATGCGCGTTTTCGAGTATTTGGCTGCAATAAATTTCCACCCGATAAATCACTTCGTTGAACTATCATTTGTGGCCAGGTCGCTTCTGAAAAAGAGCTATATAGCTCAGTGGGCCTTACCGGGTAAAATTAAAATATATTTTGATATAAAGCTTTCGTGACTGCAGTAATTCATATTCTTAGCTCTTTCGGTAAAATCACGTTGAAGGGAAACAATAAAATAATAAAATAAAACAATAAAATTCTCACGACGTTTCGACCATAACACAAACGGTCATCATCAGGTGTGATGATGATCATCAGGTGTGATGATGACCGTTTGTGTTATGGTCGAAATGTCGTGAGAATTTTTATTGTTTTATATATATTTTATTATTTTATTGTTTCCCTTCAACGTGACTTTACCGAAAGAGCTAAGAATATAAATTAAAATAAGTTTAGTTTTAGTTTAGAGAGGCCTTCAAGATCTGCTGCCCTAACCGTGTCCCACCACCTGGCATGAGTGGGGATGCGAAGCATGGGCTAACGGTAGCGCCCTGTGCCTCACCGCTCCACGGACGTCCACGTCAGCCAGCTTCCCCACCAGCGCCCGCACGATGTCCGGGTGGCCGCCCTTCACCGCCCAGATCAGCACCGTGTCTCCGTGCTGTACAACAAAGAAAGCCTTAACATACTTTTGGGGCAAGTGCTGTTAGCAAGCGCCTATGAAGGCCGGCACGGCACAGGAGCGGGTGGGTGGCCAACACCACGCCCGGCCGCCTTTGTCTCCCTCGCGGCGATGTTTAAACCTTGCACCAGTTACTAATTTTGAGGCTGAGTCGACCTAGGGGAGGCCCATGACCGGTTCAGATAATCGTCACTGGTGTTGCAGTGAGCGGCAATCGAACCCGGGTCACCGGGTTCTTAGCGCGGCACGCTAACCACTGCAGCACCGCCACCCCAGTTTGACAGCACACGCACGCACACACGCACACACACACACGCGCATAAAGTCAGCCGTCCTGCAAGAACAGCACCCTACCCCAACGTCAAACACCGCTTCTCCACCAGCGCATCCGAGCCAACGCGGGGCCAGCCTCGTGGTAAGGGAGGGTTTTCCACCGGCCGTTTGCCGTGCCGGAAGCAAAGCGTGACTCGCTGTCCTCGCAAGACTTCTGAATCTGGCCAGGGGCGATGCTAGCGACTCCTGTGATGCGCGTGACGTCAGCGACACGCCTCGGCTTCTGCAGTGGAAAAACAACGCGAGCCGCGCCGAGCTGACCCGGCTCGGCATGGCTCCGGCACGGCGCGGTTTTTCCACTTATTGGTACCTATTTTATCATTCCCAAATTGATGATGGGTTAAGTCAACCCCTAATAATGTAATGAACTGGCCAGATTCACTCTTCAAGAACAACAAATTATTTTCTAATTATTTTCACGTTGTTGTTTTTTGTTGTAGTTTTGGCAAAACACAAAGCAATCAAGCGACACCAAATACCGAGGCACTAAACGGTGTAATGTGGTAATCCCCAGGACCATGGAAGCATCGGAGTGAGTATGCTGTTTTTGTGCACGAGCATGCGTGAGAGCGGTGGCAATCGCCTCCTCCCCACCTTGAGGCCCCAAGATTTAGTATTTTATTGGCATCCGTGAGCTAAAACATATTGAATATTTGTTTTTTGCTATTATTAATGCACGGGGTCCTACTTCAAATGCTTGACATTTCGGGCCTACCTGTATCCTGAACTTCTTTCGCGCCATACGTAGCCAAACCGTGCTAATCGGCAAGCTTCTAGATCCACCAGTGCGCGCGCGTGCGTGCACCAACGTGTGCAGACGATAGGGGGCGGACCCGCGCATCAGATCGGTCGACGAACACCCGACTCTAAATGGACGCCACGTCGACCTGAAATCGTGTCCGCACACCGCTTGTGCACGGTTGGGGGAGGGGGGGGATGGGGTTCACGCTCCACCCCAGCGCGGCCACTCGAAGGGCCCGCTCTCGATTGGCGTGTCGCGTGTCCGGCGCACCCGGTCGGGCGTGTTGACGTAGGCGCCGGCGTCCAGCAGGTCCCGAGCGATCTCCGTTTTGCCCTCCTTGGCGGCGATCATGAGCGCCGAGTTGCCGTCCTTGTCGGTGAGGTTCACGTCGGGCTCCTTGGTGAGCAGCTCCTCCACGACGCTCTCAAAGCCACCCCTCACCGCTGCAATCAGCGCCGTCATCGAGTTCTGCAGCACAAAGACAAAGATGCCCACCACCACCACCCCCCCCCCCCCCCGGTGTAGCCTTTAACACACAGTGCTGTCGGCGAGCACTTGTGAAGGCCGGCACGGCAAACCAGCGGGTGGGGGTGACCGTCTTTGTCTTCCCAGTGCTGATGTTTTTTTTTCCCCCACCGCACCAGGTACTGATTTGAGGCTGTGGTGACCTCGGGGAAGCCCGGGACTTGTTCAGGTTGAACTTGGGTCGCCGGAATTTATAGCTCAGTCCGCTAACCACTACTTTTTTTTACTACTATTTTTACTTTACCAAGGGAAGGCCCACTGACCTACATAGCTCTTTTTCAGAAGGGACCTGGCCACAAAAATATAGCTTAACTAAGTGGCTTATCATGGGGAAATTTATAGCAGCAAAATACTTTAAACGCATGTTTCTAAATGTGGAGAGAAAAACCGTGGGACCCGGAGAAAAATCCACGCGACCACGAGGAGAACACGCAAACTCCAAATAAACATGCGTCGGGCTCGGAATCGAACCCACGACCTCCTGCATACCAAGCGAGGGGGATAACATCTCGTCACCGCGGCGCCCGCACTTGCAGACTCGCAAGCGAGGCTGGAGCGCAGTTACGCACCGCGCCGACTTGATTGACGTCCGCGGAATGCTGCAGGAGCAGCTGCACTGACTCGAGGTGTCCTTTCCGGGCCGCCCAGATCAGAGGCGTCGTGCCGTACTGAAGCGACACGGAGACACGCAACAGGACAGCGCGCATGCGTCAGTTGTGGGCAGCAGACACCAGAGCAGCCAAATTATATATTAAATATAAACAGTACCCAAACTCTTCGACACCGGAGCCTAAAAGAGTTAATTTGCTTGAGACAAGTCCAAAAAAGAAGACAACATTATGAAAAGTTGTTTTTTTCTGAATAAAATTTCACAGCAGCTTAAATATATGCTCACAAAATCACCAAAGCTGGCAGCCCTGGCAATACACACACACACAACTGAAACATTCCAATTTAAAATCCTAACTCGTACCTCCAGTGGTTACCATAATGGCTTTTAATTTCCCTTCCTTTCACTGGGCCCGATTGTCTACTGTGAGAGGGTGCTATTGTGGTATACATCGAGACATAATAGAGACCCACAATGCACAGCCAACGCACAAAAAAACAATAACAGCAGCAGCATCTCTCTTCTTCAGCCCAAGTTGGCAGCTCTGCAAATTGGAGGCTGGGCACGTGTCGTATAATTCGCCTGTGTTGTGGTGGTGGGTGGCTGTGGCAGAAGTGGTAATGACGGGAATGGAAGTGGTAGTGATGGAAGTGATGGTGGCGATGGTGGTGGCGGTGGTGTTGGTGGCAGTGATGGTGGCGACGGCAGTGGTGGTAATAGTGGTGGTGGAGGTGTGTGTGGTAGTGGTAATGGTGGTGGCGGCGGCGGCAATGGCGGTGGTGATGGCGGGGGTGGTTGCGATGGTAGTAGCAGTGGCAGCGGCGTTGGTCGTGGCGATGGTGGCGGTGGCCGTGATGGCTGTGATGTTGGTGCTGGTGGCACCTTGTCACAGCAGTTGCTCTTGGAGCCGGCGTTGAGCAGCATATTGACGATCTCGTTGTGGCCACGTCCCGCTGCCCACGTCACGGGGTACATGCTGAACTGTGGGGAGCAGGGGGCGCGCGGTGGCAATGTCAGAAATCATGCCACACCATCAGCAAATTTCAAGACTCCAGTGGCGACGGTCGAAACGCCTTCACGGGGCTAAGCGTTTGGCGTGTATCGATGGATCAATAGGAATAGATGTTTAGGAGTCACCCCACAGGCATCAAATTACGAGTGTGAAAATAATGAATTTATGATGCATGCAAATTTTATGAAAATTACACACACACGTTAACCTTCACGCTTATGGGATCAATGAGATGCGACACACGTGAGACAGGATCTTTTTTTGCAGAAAACACATAAAGACGAAACAAAACAACGAATGCATTAATTGCATCTCTTCGATCCCAACTGATCACGTCACACTTCGAACCACCCTCTCCCGAGACCCACCTGCCCGGCGACATTGGGGTTGGCTTTGTGATCCAGCAGCAGCCTTGCCACGTCCGTGCGCCCTTTGTAGGCTGCCCACATGAGCGCCGTCCAGCCGCCCTGACACGCCGCCGACACAGAGTCAGGATCACGACGTGGGGCATGGCGGTCAGGGGTTCTGGGCAACGATGAGGACTAGGCTCGGGGGAAATCGCTGTTTTTATGTTTTCATAATATTTCAATCAGTGCTCGGTACAGAGTACAAAATCGCGACATTGGTCGCTTGGGGGGGGGGGGGGGGGGGGTCCGGTACAGAAACTTTGCGGAGTTTAGTCCCAAACGCTGTGCACATTAAGTTTGGAGGAGTAAGGGGGAGATTGGGTGAGCGGGGTGTCTGTGTATTTTTATATGGGAAGGTGAGGGGAAAAGACCTTAAGAAAGAAAGAGGAGTGGGGGGAAATTAACCGCGACAATTCGAGTTCACGACGGGATTCAAGAATCGATTACTTTGTGAACGTTCTTTTGTCACACTGCGTTGGCAGTGGTGCACGAGCATGAATAATAACAACAACAAAAACAACAACAACAACAAAAACAAACGCATTTCTCAATAGCACAGCGTCTACTCCCTCCCTGGATTGGTTGAACAAACGCAGCGTTCAACTACAATGCAATTCAACACTCTTGTTTTTCTCACCCTGCCATTCGCCACCACCACCTATCATTTTCTTGGTATTTGCACTCCTATAGTTTTTTGCACCGTTCGTTGTTGTAACTTTCCGACCCGCCGCGATTGAACGTCCGTGAAAAAGAGCTTCATAGATCTTCGGATTTCTTCCAGGGATAAATAAAAGATTGTGATTCTGGGAATAATCCTAGTGACATAATAAAGGACGACACTTTCCAGTCCCTTCGTGAAATCTCAAATCGGCAAAGTCTCGCTCACATCTTGAAAAATGCGTTGTCCAGCTATGCTTCTACTTGAAATGTTTAGTCAACAGCTGTACTGGGTATATTGTTGACATGTAGGAGGAAACCAGAGTGCAGTCAGCAAATGAGCAGTTTCAGGCAGAAGGCGTGTTTTTTCCTTAGATTCAACTCGGACACTCCCTCGTCTGTGTGTGTAGTCATAACACAACACAGCACCATGGTCGAGCAGGAGTGACGTCACTGGAGGGCATGATGGCTTTTGAAAGTCACCACTTCACCCGGGTCAGCTCGCTCTTCTCAGCAACGACGCTTCAAACTTGTACCCAACAGACCACAAGACACATTGCCTGCGTGTGCGTCTCCTCCTCTAAACAAAAACTGCAATCCCGCTACTCACCACAGTACGCCTTTGCACATTTAACAACCGTAACGTACTCTGTTCCAAGCACCTGAAGTTTGGTAAACACGGAAACCTGTATTGTGGCAAGCTGCGACTTCAGACGTTTGATAAACCCTGGACCCAGAGACTATTCCAGTGGTCACAATGTAAATTTGGAAATCCCCGGATAAAACCTATTTGTCCTGTCGTCCACACTCCCTGCCGATTCGCCCCCACGGAAACATCACAGTGTAGGAATAGGAACCGTTCTGGTGTACAGTAAGACCTCGTTTAATGCGGTAGGTGCATTCCTGAAAAGTCTCACGTTCAGCGAAAAACGCGATAAGCAAACATAAATAATGTGACGAGGAAAGTTTGTCGAGATACCATGTACCGCGCACACACGGCAAGATGGCGGGACAAATAACTGGGGGTACGGCCGCCCTACTGTATCATTCCGCTTACTTTATCACACTGCTCAGCTGCGCAGCTCAAGAAAGTAGTTTGTCAACCGCTCAGAAAGCGAGTTATAACGGGGTGTGCGCATTCCACGTTATAACGGGGTGCGCTTTCTGCATTACAGTGGTGCATGTTCCACATTATATTGGTGTGCGGTCTACGCTGTGCGGAAAGTGTTTCCCGATGGAAGAACTGCGTTATAGCAAAAAGGCGTCGCAGTGTGAACACCGCGCATTAAGCGGGGACTCGGCGTACATACTTGGCGGTCTTAGTCGTGCCGGTGTGGCGTGCCGGCCCCGTCGAAACCTGAGGGTCAACTCGCTACGGAACGCGTGCACACAAACCATCGGCGCCGTACCATCTCTCGGTGCTCGATATCCGCGTTGTTCTGTATCAGCTCTCGCACGATGTCCAAGTGGCCTTCCTTGGACGCCGAGATCAACGCAGTCCAGCTGTCCTGAAACGAGAACCGCGGGCGGACACGGGACGCGGCTCCCGTTACGCACCGCCAATCGTCACAGCGACGCTCCCGGACTCGCACAAGCGCGCAAGGCGTTCATGGTGACGCTATGGCGAAATATCAGGGCCCTCGCCTGGTGTGCAGGAGGTCGTGGGTTCGATCCTGACTCTGACGCCTGCTGCTGTATATTTGGAGTTTGCGTGTTCTCCCCGTGGTTCTGTGGATTTTTATCCGGGTCTTCCAATTTTTTCCCTCCACATTTAGAAACATGGATTTCGAGTATTTGGCTGCAATAAATTTCCACACGATAAGCCACTTCTTTTAGCTATCATTTGTGATAGCCAGGTCGCTTCTTAGAACAAGCTACATAGCTCAGTGAGCCTTACCTTGTAAAATAAAATAAAAACGAGCATGGCGTGAGTGATCATCTCTACTGGCTGCCCAGGGATCAGCCGAGGCAATTCCACATTACCATGATGGGGGTCAACTTTTTTTTGTCAGAAAAGGCAACCATTGAATATTTTGACAAATGGCACCGATGTTTATCGATCCCATTGTGACGATGGGCAAAATTATCCACTGCCCAGGATTACAACTTCAAATCGTCTGCTGGCGAGATAAGTGCAACACCTAAGACGTGTGACCAAGTGTGTATATGTAAAACAAAGCTGGCCGGGCAGGGTGTGAGCCACTCCACCCCCTCGCGTGCAGTGTTAGTACACAAATACAGGAGTAGCAACATGAGGCTATTTCGTACGTGCACGTATGAACACGGTGGAGAGATCTCTGACGAATGATCTCAGCGATCAGGTTTGAATGTTTACGGTGATGACAACAGCAGCGGCAAGGCGTGTCTGCAGTAGGCCGCCTCCTGTCATCACCAACTCGCTACACTCGAAAGCCCAGTTTAACCTTGGGTGGCTGCCCAATTATTAATACCAGGATCTCAGTGGTTGAGAATAGGTTTTCCCCTTTTTATTGGCAACAAAACAGGTGTTAAGATGTTAAAACACAAAACTGAAACCTTTTACAAGGAATCATGTCTGCATTAACCACAATACTTGTGGGTCAGAATGCAAACAAAAAACACTCTGATATTATATGCATTGTCTGATTGGTCCACACCAGAGACAGATTTCTTTGCAGCCTAGTCTCAAAAGGTGTTAGACCAGAGGCTGCCTTCTGTAAAAGGTTTCAGTTTGGTGTTTTAACAACTTAACACCTATATTCTTAGCTCTTTCGGTAAAGTCACTTTGAAGGGAAATAATAAAATAATAATATATATAAAACAATAAAAATTCTCACGACGTTTCGACCATAACACAAACGGTCATCATCAGGTGTGAAAAACCAATGGCAAGAAACATTTAAAAGAATTGTCGGTTCGCATCTATTTATTTATTTATTTTTAAAACGGTGTATTTATTTACACCTGTTTTGTTGCCATAAAAAAGGGGAAAACCTATTCTCATATTTTGATACTGGCAAAGGAGGACCCACGATCCCAGTAGTTGCTTGCACAGCACTCCCACAGGCATTGGTGTGCAGGGGTTCCCAGCCACTCATGAGATTAACAATCTCTTGAAACCGAAATCCTCACGACTTACTCACCACAGCACGCGCCTTTGCACATTTACCAACTGGAGTTTCAAAGCACAGCCCGAATACATGCCACGTTACATGCAATCAAAAGTCAGCGGTGAAGGAAGTACATTGAAAGTTAACCAATGCTACACTGTCCAGGCCCTCAGTGGAAGGCGGTCAAACGTTCAACCGCAAAAACTGCTGCATCGGCGTTTCCGCTTCACCAACTCACAGAATTGTGCGTCTGTTCCGGTTCGAATGCTCTCGTGCATGCGTGCGCGGGTGTGTGCATGCGTGCGCGGGTGTGTAATGTGGCGGTGGTTGCGATGGCGGTTGTGGTGGTGGTGGTGGTTGCGGCCGCCGTGACCGGGTTCTACAAGTCCCCCGAGGGCGTTGTCGGCACTGCCACTCACGTCGTCCTCCAGGTTGCAGTTGGCGCCGCGCTTCAGGAGCTCCTGCACGATCTCCAGGGAGCCCTGCTCGGCCGCCAGCATCAGCACCGTCTGTCCGATCTGCACCATCGCCGCAGCCGTGTCGCAGGACACGGGGTCACAGGGGAAAGGTCACACGGAGCCATCACGGGTTCGCAGCTGACGCGTCAACCCCGCGCAAGCGAACGGGACACGCTGCTCATGGCTGCCGGTGGCCTTGAAGTAGATTACCACCGCTGGTGACTTTCCAAAAAGTATCCAAACAGGCTGAGTGGACCGCCAACTGGGATTTAAGGTTTGGGTCGAGTATTCTAATCAGTGGCACCTGGCATATCAGCAACATAAAAGGTACTTGTCACCAAACTACCGGGGAGGGGGGGGGGCCTTGAGAGTAGGGTGCAGAGGATGAATCATCCTAGCACGAACATTCGGGCCTTGTCATTGTAATCGGCACAGCAAGCGACGTACAACATTCATGTTTATTAAGCGGAGGCAGAAATGTGCCAAGGAGCTTGGCACATTAACGAATGAACGGTAGTAAAACCATTAGCCCTGGACGCAGGCCTACATGCACGAGAGCGTGCATGGATTGTGACCTTCTAATGGCCGTAGTTCAACGCTGATGAGTCGCGGTCAACAGGATGTTATTTAGATGCAGCAGTATACAGCCGCAGCAGTAATCCGGTGTGAAGCGTCACACTTCAGGGTGCCGTACAGACAGTCAGCGGAGAAAGGTGACGACACCCCATCACCGTCGTCACCTTCACTGTTCAACAATTCACACCCAAGGCTTTGCAAAAAGGCATACTTCAGAAGATCGTAAAGGCATGAACAACCATGTCAGTAAATTGGCAATGGCGCAAATGCATCCACAGCCAATGGTCCACTAAACAAATCAATTGTTTATCTCGAGGCACTTAGCGACAGATTGATTAATTTTTTTTTAAAATTGGTACACGCAAAGAATTAATTATTAACAACTTCATGCAAAAGAGATGCAAATTCAACGGTCGTGTTGCATTCAGATCAAAAATGAAGAAAAAATGACAATCGATCCACAAATGAAATGTTGCGACTCCAAATCGTGACAAATCATCACTGCATCACCAGGTGGCTTGAGAAAGTCGGTGAATGACGACGCGTAATTATTATTATTTTTTTTTGACAAATGCACAGAAATAATGTTGCAGGGCAGGTTCCGTGGTTGCAGAGCACGTGACCGAGTCGCCCTCCCATCGCAGCTGACTCAGCGTGGAGTGGAGCGGCACCAACCCTGGGGCGCTTTGTGGCGAGCCAACAGCGGATGCCCGACAAGAGACGGACCCCGCCCTGGAGCCGTGTCCGGTTCAGGGCTGCTGCTCACCGAGACGTGTGGTACATGGGGGGTTTTGTTTATTGGAAAACAATGCCCTCACGGAATTCGTTTTTTGTAAAAAATAAAAAAAGCAGACGTCTAAAGTTGGAAGTTTTTTTTTTATCGTCGTCGCTTACCTTGGACCTCTTTAAGAATGTCTACTTTTGGTTTCACGGGTACGGATGTTGTGAAATATAATACCTCAATGAATACGCGCTGCTTATTCGTTTATCCATGAAAGACTCTTTCCACGAAGGCCAACATTGGAATGTTGAAGCCTGTTCCTTCTTTGCGGAGTGTGCATGGAAGGAAACCAGAGTGCCCGGTGAAATCCCAAGCCGACGAGGAGACAACCGCCCAACGGTCTCGACACAGACGGGTCAGGATCGCACGCGGCACCCTGCCGCCCAACCTGCCTGCCACCCCACAAGCCCAGCGGAGTCACGCTCCACTTGCTCATGTCCAACTGAACACGGCAATGCAGTGTATCACTGGAACCCTCAAGTCGACTACCTCGCCCATCCGTCGCAACCCTCCGGGAAGTCCTGCGAATCGCAGAAAACGATCGCCCCGTTTCCCATTCACCAGGAGCTCAACCACGTCCCTCGTCATCGCTCGAAGTCACGCAAGCAATTTTGGACCCCATGCGCTTCACCTTCAACGATGCGAGTTCAACCCCGATGAATCTTGGAGAGCTGAACGGAGTTCAAAAGAGCTCGCAAACAAACATCCCGTTGTGAAAGACCCAAGGGAGAAAATCCCTGGGTTTGATCTTCCAGGAAGTGCATGGTCCACCCCCTAAACCGCATCCGCACAAACCATGTCAGCTGCGGATATCTGATGCACAAATGGAAAATTAAAAACTGTGGTCATCCAGAACTGACTATACTCCTGATGCGATTATCTGGCTTGACCACCTGAATGTGAAAATTGTAGGTTGTTGCTCTGCATCTAAGACAGCCGCATACGAAAGACGAAGCCCGGCCAATGTGAAAGTCTCACAGCACAGGACGACCTGTGCCGAATAAACCCTGTCCTCCAAAGCGCCGTATATACGAGAGGCGCTCACCCAGCCTCCGTGAAGAGTGAAGTCACCGAGCAACAGGCCAACCACGCCGACCGGCTCGCCTGACGCGATATTCCTAAAAACAGAACGCAGCCGCAACAGCGGTGGCGGCGGCTGGCGGTTGGGCGAGTCAAACAGAATTGGTTTGGGCGTGTGCCCCCCCCACCAGCCCCGACCGCTGCTGGCGTCCCCGCGGCCGCTCTCCCATTTCTAACCGGCGCTCCTCCCCGCATGCCTTCCCGCGCGGACACCTTTTGCCGCGCGGGTGCGGAGAAGTCGAGCACGCCAAACAGAGACATGTAGGGGCTGTGCGGACGGGCGCCCGGGGGGGGCTGATGACCTGACTTTTATAAGAGTTAAAAAAAGCCCGATTAGTTATCCGCGCGAGTATATTTAGCGACCGTCGATGCTTTAACTGCCCCCCACCCCCGCCGCCTCTCTCCCGCGAGACACGCAGCGGCCAGGACGGGCATCGCTCACGATGGGTCCCGTGAGGACAAGAGGTCGGCAAACCGCCGTTGCTGCCGGCCGTCTGGCGTGGCGACAATTGGTTGGATGCTGCCTGCCCGGTACGCCAACGCTCGCTTGGGGTATAGACCGTCAACACGCTACACTCGGGAATGTCGTTTAATCCTTTCCCATTCCGATGAACGAACGTGTGTGAAAAATTACAAAAAAACCGGGTGATGATGATACGAATGTCATTTTCTTTGGTTCTTTCGGTAAAGTCACGTAGAATGAGAATAAAATAATAAAATAAAACAATAAAATTCTCACGACGTTTCGGCCACAACACAAGTGGCCTTCTTCAGGTGAAAGGAACAAACCTGTCGGGACGACAGAGCTACACTTGTGTTGTGGCCGAAACGTGGTGAGAATTTTTTTGTTTTATTTTATTATTTTATTCTTATTCTATGTGACTTTACCGAAAGAACCAAAGAAGATGAATCCTTGCAGTCACGAAAGCTTTAAATCGAAACGAATGTCATTTTTAAGGTGCACAACATTTCACGCGCGTAAATGACCACGACTCAGCCTTCTAATGAGAAGAATCTAGCCGGAGGTATGGAAACATCGATCCCCCCCCCCCCCCCCCCCCCACAAGGTGGCCCCGGTTGGCAACGTACGGTACAAAATAATCTCAACGTACATACATACAGGTGGCTGCGTCGGGCGCGGAGGGTCTCACCTCGTTGCGCTCGTCGATGCTGGAGCAGCTCTCGAGCAGGACGAGGAGGCCAGCCACGTTGTTCTCCTCGACGCAGGCCAGCAGGCCCTGGGGCAGCAGGGCGGCCATGGCAGCAGCCGGAGCCTGGGCCTCCAGGGCCACCCCCGCCACCTCAACCCTGCGCGTGCGTGTGTGCGTGTGTGTGTAACAGCACGCACAGACACACAGGGAGAGATGCACACAGATAAACAACGCGTGGGCACAAAAAAAAGATCCCCCGTAGAGCCTTAACAGACTGTCGGGAGAAATGTCGTTAGCGAGCATCTATTAAGGCCGGCATGGCACACAAGGGGGTGGGTGGCACCGCACTTTGTCTCCCCTAAGCTAATGTTTACACGCTGTACCGGATACTCATTTAACACCAAGTCAACCGAACGGTGGCTAAGGACTGATTCAGATATTCGCCACCGATGTTGGCCATGAGAGAAAGACCCCCAGTACAGCCTTAACAGACTGTTGGGGCAAGGGCTCTTAGTGAACACCTATGAAGACCGGCACACAATGGGGTGGGTGGCCATAGTCACACCTGGCCGGCTTTGTCTCCTTAATAGCGATGTTTTTACACGCCGCACCAGCTACTCGTATGAGGCTCAGTCGACCGGTGTTGGCCGGAAGCTGGAATCGAACTCGGGCCGCCAAGTTCGTAGCACAGCGCGCTAACCGCCACACTACCGCGCTCCTCTCCCCACATACACACGTACTCACGCACTCACGTGCACCCAACACACGAGTGCTGGGCCAGTGGCATGAAAACAACACAATTAATCCTGCATATTTCAAACTCTAATTCCCATGCCGCACGAGGTCCACTCTCAACAACCTTCGTAATGTAACAGCAAAGCCACTGTGCTTACACTGTCGGCAACGGATGCAAGCCATAAGTTGAAATGTGTATCCGATTCCATTGGAGTTTGGGAACTTCTGCATTGATCCATTGCGCATCTCGGCTGTTTATCATCACACAGCCAGTCCAGCCAGGCCACCACTGATGTTTTTAGGAAATGTTTAGAGTGCAGTGTACATTCCTAAAGTTGTAAGCAGGGCTAGTCTAGTCATTACGAAGCAAATATATTTCTTCCGAAGTATCATACAGAGGTTTGCCCAAGAGATGCAGGACCATTTGTATAGAGATCCCATGCAGTGTCATCGATTTAGTTAATCGGGGCCAGATTATCCCTTTTGTGAATTGCTCAATTAATTAATTACCTATGAGTGAACGCAACCAGATTTAGAGTGCGCTTTGTCACGCAAAACAAAACGTCTCGGAGCGCTGATCCCCCTCTTGGCAGCTGTCCCTGTGCGGCACAAGGTGACTCAGCACCCTGCTCGACGATGGCCGTTAGAGTGCCAGTCAGGGAGGAGATGATTGCCGTGTGGTCGAGCCGAGGGCACCCCCAGCGGCAGCTCTCCCTGTGCGGCACAAGGTGACTCAACACTTGGCTCGGCGATGGGGCGATATTGTGCCACTCGGGAGGGGGGCGGAGATGGTTGCCGTGTGGTCGAGCCTAGGGCACCTCCCAGCGGCAGCTGTCCCTGTGCATGGATCAGCTCCCACGAGTAATTTGTGGGTATTTTTGCACGTTTTTTTTTTATTCAAATTTGAACTCAGATTGGCATCGTGTGTTTTTCGTTGTTGTTGTGAGAGGAAGCAGGGACAAGCCAAAGCAAACCCATGCAGAACAGCAGGAGAACTGACAAACTCCACAGAGAAAGGTGGCCCGCTGCGGGTATCGAACCAGGGCCATTCTTATCTGTGAGGCGTGAGTGTTGCCACTGCACCACCCCCTCTGCCACCCACACTGGACAAAGATGGGCATGGGGCCCAATGCTCAGAGAAAAGAGAATGACGAGCTTGTGTCCTGACCCAGGAGTGTTACTTCATCAAACAAAGTGAGAACGTTCAGCTAGATGAACAATAATGTGAATTATTCAGTTTAACGCGTAGGCTTTCGCGACCAATATTATTCATAATAAAGGTGTTTTGGGTTAGATCGCGTTATTTATAAATGTGTCGTAACCCTCCACCACCCGACACGGCCAATCAGCAAAAAAAGTGTCACGTTGACAAAAGACAATTAGTTCACTACTTCGCCATTCTGGCGAATTGCCCGATGATGCTGGATGTAATTACCAGCGAAATGTCGTATTCAAACTGTAAATGTTGTGGATTCACTCTTCAACACACCGGTGGGGCTAAAGTAGTGAACTATTTTGTCTTTTGTCAACGTGACACTTTTTTTGCTGATTGGCCGTGTCGGGTGGTGGAGGGTTACGACACATTTATAAATAACGCGATCTAACCCAAAACACCTTTATTATGAATGTAAATTATTATTGTAACACTCCACCGTAATAGGTCCCATAGAGACATAACTGCTCGACCCGAGCTATAAGTGTTCTGATACTTGCATCGTCTTTGTACGGTTCACCTTTTGGCATTCTCCGTTCTGACACTGGTGAGACGAGGCCTTAAATAAGGCTCTCTCTGGCGTAGGTCAATCAGTTTAGAAGACAATGCATCTACTATCAGAGCATATTTCATGGGACCTCCCTTGCCAGTATCAAAATATAAGAATAGGTTTTAGCCTTTCTGGCAAAAGAACAGGTATTAAGATGTCAAGACTTAGACAGAGCATGTCTGTTTGCATGTTCACCACGAGTACGTGTGGTTGATGCAGACTTGATTCCTTACAAAAGGGTTTCTATTTTGATGTGAAGCTATTTGGTGTTTGAACATCCTAACACCTGTTTTATTGCCAGAAAGGGTAACAACTATTTTCACTTTTCCTCATTTAGCAAAATATTAATGCTGTTATTTTTGTTTTAAGGGCGGGGGGGGGGGGGGTTAAACCATATTTTGTTGTGCTCCTTCAAAAATGGACAAATCTGAAAGAAAAAAAAACAATTTGGGGGGGGGGGTGATAAAAAAAATGCTATAAGCGAGCAACCCCATTAAGGGCGGCACGGCACCACCGGGGGGGGGGGGGGGGCGTTGGGAGCCGCCACCACCCCGACAGCTTGCCACCAAGGTTGTCCCCAGCGCCAATGTTTACACCTCACTGTGACCCTAAAGGGACACCCAGGAATGGTTCGGATGCCACTTGCCACCGGGACTACACACGGCGATAAATCAGGCACACGGAGCCGGGATTTGCAGAGCAGCGAGCGAGCGACTGGCGCCGCTGCTTCTGTGTGCTCTCTGACAACACTTGCACTCCCACCGGGGAGGAGGGGGGGGTGACGACGGGGGGAGGTAGTGATTGGGGGGGGTGATGGTGATGTGGGGGGTAGTGATTAGGGGGGGTAGTGACGGTGGGAGGGTATTTTTGCATTTGTGTATGAAATACACAACAGACCGTTGGGGCAAGTGCTGCTGTGAGCGAGCAGCACCTATGAAGGCTGCCACGGCGCACGAGAGGGTGGGTGGCCGGCAACCACTCCCAGCCACCTTCGTCACCCCAGCGGCGATGTTTACACACTGCACCAGGTGCTCGTTTGAGACCGAGTCGACCACCGTAGGCAGGCCCGGGATCGGTTCGGATAATGGCCACCGGTGTTGTGTGTCCGTGAGCGGGAACCGAACTCGACTCGCCGGGTTCGTCGCACGGCGGCGCTAACCGCCGCGCTGCCGCTCCCCACGACACAAACGCACGCACGCCAAGATGCACGGACATTCATGCGCACGTGCAGATTCCCACACGCACGTGCAGAATTGCCACACGCACGTGCACGCGCGATCGCACACGGCTCCCATATAAAAAAAACCCACGCATGCGATACCCAATGGTGGAGGGCAGCCACGCTGTATAATGGTATTAGCGCAGCGAGCATGGCGACTGCTTTACATCATCCCTGTGCACGCTGCACTCACGCGGCCGGCTGCGCTCTGTAATCCCTATACGTGCAGTAAAACACGTTCCTGCGAATAACTCACGAGCATTAATGCGCAACAATGCGATTAACACTTTGAAATAAGAACCATGGAAAACGTATTAATCTAACCTTGTGAGCCGCAATGAATAAAAACGAACCCTAATCATCACTAAAAGCCGCTTTTGCTCTAGCTCTGAAAAGCCTCGAGAATGACCATATTACCAACAGAAGCCTGAAGGTGGCTTTAGCCTGGGCTCGATGAACCGCAAGGCATTAGCAATTCACCCCGAGAATCCTGGAGGTGCCTTCGCGCGGCTCTCCGAGACGCAAGGTGTAACACGGCGGAGGAAGGAGCAGGTCTGTGTGTGTGCGACACCGCTACGCCGTGCCGGCACTTTTAGGAGGATTCCCATTCCTAAGCTGCGACGTTTCCGCAGAGGGGAACGACAGTGAACGTGGGCTGCAGCACGAACCGGTTTCATCGCGGCACCTCTACATTTCGACTGCAACCGCTGTGCGCGACTCTGTGTGTTTGTTTACGCACAGAGTCACGGCAGCGTAGCGCCTAGCGCTACGCTGCGCTATTAAACCGGCGACCCCTGGTTCGATTCCCGCTCACGGCCAACACCGGTGACGATTATCTGAACCGGTCCGGGGGCCTTCCTTCGGTCGACTCAGCTTAAAATGAGTACCTGGGTGCGATGTGCAAACATCGTTACTGAGGAGACAAAGGCGGTCAGGCGTGGTGCTGGCCACCCACCCCCACGTGTGCCGTTCCGGCCTTCATAGGTGCTCGCTAACGGCACTTGCCCCTACAGTCTGTTAAGGCTATATGGGGGATCTTTGTCTTTATTGTTTACACAGTAGCAGGAGCGGTACAGAAGTGGTTAGCGCGCTTGCAATATGAACCAGGTGATCCGAGTTCGATTCCCGCTCATGGCCAACAGCATTGACGACCTCCCCTAGGTCGGCTCAGCCTAAAATGAGTACCTAGTGCAATGTATAAACATCGCCACTAGGAAGACAAAGGCGGCTGGGCGTGGTGCTGGCCACTCACCCCCTTCATGTGCAGTGCCGGCCTTGACGGACGTTCGCGAACAGCACTTGCCCCAACAGTCTGTTAAAGGCTACACGGGGGATCTTCGTGTGTATATACAGTACACCTGTATATCAACTTATGATATGCAGCCTATGTCCCATTATCTGGGCGTATATTAAGGCCTGAACACTCCTCTAGATTACTCATACGGTGACAACACTCTCTGCAAATGAGGCAATCGTCATAATTTTCTGGCGACAGCAGCAGAATCAGCAGCAACGCAAACTGATGCGCATAATTACCAAGGCACGCATCATTACCACACATACCCAGCAATCGGCGCAACACCACCGGTACAGTCATGGCACGAATAGCACCGTGGGTTCCGGCTAATGCTCAAGAAACGTTGCAATCGACGATAACAATGGCCCAAGGTCGGTTCTGGCTGGAGGAGGCGAGATGGGGTTGTGAATCACCATCGTTGCCCGTCACCATCGTTATTATTACTAGCGCCCCCGCTTGCTTACCCAGGAACGCCTCGCCGAGTCTCATGACTCGTTTTCAGGAGGGTCCTGTTGAGCTTTCAAAGGAAGGGGGGGCGATACCGGGGCAAAACAATTGCCGCACGTAATTGCAATCGAGTCGTTTGAGGGTAAAATGTCAAATTTGGCTCATGACACCAGGCATGGTGGACACTCCACGCCCACAGGTTCTCGTTAACACAGTGGTTGGTCCATCTCGCCACCACGGCGCCCACAGTGGCGAGATGTTAACTCCCTCGCCTGGTGTACAGGAGGGCGTGGGTTCAATCCTGACCCTGACGCCTGCTCTATATTTGGAGTTTGCGTGTCTCTCTCTCTCTCCCCGTGGTCGTGTGGAATTTTCTCCGGGTCCTTCAAATTCTTTTCCCCCCCTCCACATTTAGGATAAACACGCGTTCAGAGTATTTGGCTGCGATAAATGTCCACGTGATAAGCCAATTCGTTGAGCTATCATTTGTGGCCAGATCGCTTCTAAAAAAAAAGCGTTATTGCTCAGTGGGCCTTACCTGGCAAAATAAAAAAAATGGTTTACTTCATATCGTTTTAAAAATATGTGCCCGCACAACAGCAGCTATATGTTTCTCGGGCTGCGTCTTCCTTTTTGGCGGACAACGCAAGCGGCAGACAACGGGTCTCCTTCGCCCGGCTCAGTGAGGCTGTGCGGGGGTGGGGGGCAGAAGCGGACGATGGGACAACACAACGGACGGAGAAAGCCACACCCCGCCGCACACAATTCTCCCCCTCGTTTGCAAACCACGAACGCTGCATCTTTGAGCACGGCAATGGCATGGTCGCTCACAGCTGTGCGCGGGAGATGCCGTCTGGAAAAATGGCTTCGTCAGGAAGGTGGAAGATGGCACCGTGGACCAATAAGCACAGGAACAGCACGGCGTAAGGGGCCATGTTAAAGTCGCCCATCTATCTCGCTTAATAACACACCGGGGGGATAAGTGATAGCAGTGATGGCAAAGCCTTAGCCTTCGTCAATATGAACAGTGAGCCAGGGGGATTTGTAAGACACACAATAATGCAGCTGATTTATTACGTGATATTAAGGAAAATGAGTGTTCAGTTGCGGCTCGATGAAAATGTGCAATTAAAAATTCACAATATTCCACGATTCTCAAGAAAAAATTCATTCCAGCAATACAAATTGATAATTATAAGGATATCACAATTTTAATATATATTTATTTAAACCTAATGCCCCTCGATATGGATTTAATAAAATACACGATCATTTTCTAATGCACGGTATAACGTGCAATCATGTAAAGCCATCGGAAATCAAAGAGTGCACAAAAGCCTTTGTGCAGCATCGAGAAAAATAACACACACGCGGATCTCGCAAGCCTGAAAAAAAATGGAAGCTACGCGCTGCAACAAGCGCGATCGACATGCGGCGAAACCGAGACACGATATGCAACAAAAATCACCCGACAGCAACCGCAAAAAAAGCAAAGGCGAAAAACGCAATTCAATCGGCGCCGAGGCCCAAGCGCTGAAATGCGCGGTCGTGCGATGTGAAGGAATATTACTCACGACATGTAAATCCTTTTGTCGGAGGCGCGCACGCAGAGGAGACAGCAGCAGCTGTGTGAGACCCGCGCTGGTTCTGCAGCCCATCAAACATTTATAGTGCTCGCGTTCACGCCGATACCACGGGGGACCCGCATTTACAATTCAATGTCATCGGGCGCCATGGCAACGCTGTCCCCCTGGGTATGATTTTTTTTATATATATCTGGGAGACACACCAACAGCCCACACTTGGCAAACGACACACCCGCTTGTTGATCCACCCGCTCACCGAACCCCATCCACCACGACCCTGGATGCTTTTACACTGCTGTTGACCGTGCGATTAAGCGTTATCGTAGGGGTGCAAAAGATGCGTCGATTAAAAATTGATTCGTCCATTCACGACACGCGCCACCGAATTCGCTCGCGCGACCCCGTGCGTGGAAGCAGAATCGTTTACGGCGTATGCAAATTGATGCGATGTGTGAACACTTAGACCCGAGGCTGACCCAGCGAACACAGCCGTTGAACCTCAACCAAAAAAACATATTTACACGCACAGTAATAAGAACACAAAATATTATTGGAATAGGACGTCGCAAATGGGACGTAAAAATACAAATATTTATTGGTGACAAGACGTAGGGATGTCGGTCGGCGGAGAGGGAGGTGGGAGTGTGGGAGGTGGATTGTCACTGATCTACTGAGTACGTAAATAATATAGTTACTCATGTATTATCTTCATCATCATCGTTAGTCATGCATAACTGCGGGATGGCTAACATTTCCACTGCTGGCCTAGAGCCTCAATTGGAGGTTTAAAACGAAACTAAACTAATTTTATTGTACCAGGCAAGGCTCACTAAGCTCTTTCTAAGAAGCGACCTTGCTATCGCAAATGACAGCTCAATAAAGTGGCTCATCGCGTGGAAATGTATAGCAGCCAAATACTCTAAAAGCATGTTTCAAAATGTGGATGGGGAAAAAACTGGAGGACCCGGAGAAAAATCCACACGACCACGGGGAGAACACGCAAACTCCCAATATACAGCAGCAGGCATCAGGATCGGGATAAAAGGCACGACCAGGCGAGGTAGTGGGTTGAGTGGCAACCCACCGCTCAACTGAGCAGGGAAACCCTCTGTGGTAGAGGTCAGCGAGGTTTATGCTCTGCAGTATTCCCCAATATGCATCAGCTTCTGCTGCCGTCCACATGTCAAGCCAAGCTTCAATCACATTCAATGCAACACCTCCATATTCCTTGGCAGGTCTGCTACAGAATGGCTACGGGTGTTATCAAGCTCCGTTAAGGATCTTTAAATTCTTTGTTTCAGTTTGGTTGCTTTTGTGGATCTATGGGCCTTACCTGGTAAAGTATAAATAGCTTATAGTTTTTATATACCGTGAATTGTAAAGACCCGAAACAAATCTTGGGGCAACTTACAGTGGCCCACGATTCATAAACACACCGGTTGTGAAGGCAATTCTTGTGTGCTTAATTAAAATAATAGTTATTAGTAGTAACGTTAGTATTATTGTGCATGCGCAGTGCAGGACCCACTGTGAACACAACCGTAATGTTTCAAGAAGAATTGTTGTCTCTTTTGTGATTGCACGAGATTGTTTTTTAACAACCACAATTCCTGGCGATTTTAATTCTCGCAAGACATACGTGGAGGTCATGTGCAAGGACAAAGCACCATTGCCTGAAATGTCGGCCTATTTAATATATATCTAGCTGTGCTACCCGGCTTCGCCTGGGACTTGGATTCACCACGCCTTTGACCCCCCAGTGGCGATGTTGACACACAGCAGTTACTCGTTTGAGGCTGAGTCGACCTAGGGAAGGCCCAGGACCGGTTAAAATAATCGTCACCAGTGGTGGCTGTGAGCGGGAATCGAACTCGGCTCGCCAGATTCGTAGCGCGGCGCGCTAACCACTACACTACAATGCGCGGGTCACATGACAGATTTGACGTCACAGCTCACTTGCCGTGCAATAAAAATATGCATTATTGAGCTCCCCCCGCCCCCACCAAAAAAAGTGTATTTTCATAATTTTTGCATGGTGTACAGTCTGGAAAGGACCCACATGGCAAATTTCAAGTTCGTTGCATGTCAGGAAATACGCTAAACATTTTGAACAGACACACATATTCACAACTTTGCCTTATATATGTGTAGATTTCCTTTCAAGGCAGCGTTATCGACGAATGTGTCATTGCTGTTTGTGCCACTGCCAATGTAGGTTCACCAAATAATGTATTTACTCCATACGTCAGGTGCTTCCATTTGATATAAACCTTACATCTATACACAATGTGTGGATAAGGCAGATGCATATATATTATAAGACTAAATATATAAGCACACGTTACCATCAGGAGGACAAAAAAAATCCCAGCATTTGCTTTCGAACACAAATTGCCAGATTTGGTGGAGATGTGGCAATTTTTCCCCGAGTGATAATTGGGACAGGCGCTTCCATTATCAAGCAAGCGTGCAGGGCTAACGGTGGCTCTCTAAGCGTGTGTGTGCGTTGAACTTCTTTCGCATGGCCACATACCGTTTGCTGTGTGTGGCCCATGGGAGGGAAAGACCAGCACGGCAAGGCGACCCGCTCTCTCCCCGTGCACTCATCACGTTGCACCAGACATTTTTCCTCTCGCGAAATCCGACTCTTCACTATTTTATATTTGCATAGCAGTTCAGGTTTCGCATCTCTTTTTTCCCCCTCGACTATTCGTGACTTGGCAACGTGAGGAAAAGGTTCAAAACGGTTACCGGTTTGCCACGCCTATAGAAATGCCGCGGTGTCATCGTTAGGACGCTGGGGGGCTTGCAATCCAGAGGTCACCGGTTCGATTCCATCTCCTGGCACGGCAGCCGAAACAACGGGTGGGTATATTAAACCCACCACCGCCCTCCACCTCTGTTCACGCAGCAGCATCAACGTGTACGACCACAGTCAATCGGCAGGTCGGAGTGTGGTCAGTGTGGAAGAGTAGGCCTAATACCCTCCAGAGCTCCCTCTAGTTGACGTCCATCTACCATCAATTATGTGGGTTTTATTCGCACAGATTTTCTATGGGATTAAGGTCTGGAGACTGGCTAGGCCACTCCAGGACCTTAATGTGCCTCTTCTTGAGCCACTCCTTTGTTGCCTTCGCCATGTGTTTTGGGTCATTGTCATGCTGGAATACCCATCCACGACCCATTTTCAATGCCCTGGCTGAGGGAAGGAGGTTCTCACCCAAGATTTGACGGTACATGGCCCCGTCCATCATCCCTTTGATGCGGTGAAGTTGTCCTGTCCCCTTAGCAGAAAAACACCCCCACAGCATGTTTTCCACCTCCATGTTTGACAGTGGGGATGGTGTTCTTGGGGTCATAGACAGCATTCCTCCTCCAAACACGGCGAGTTGAGTTGATGCCAAAGAGCTCCATTTTGGTCTCATCTGACCACAACACTTTCACCCAGTTGTCCTCTGAATCATTCAGATGTTCATTGGCAAACTTCAGACGGGCATGTATATGTGCTTTCTTGAGCAGGGGGACCTTGCGGGCGCTGCAGGATTTCAGTACTTCACGGCGTATTGTGACCAATTGTTTTCTTGGTGACTATGGTCCCAGCTGCCTAGAGATCATTAACAATATCCTCCCGTGTAGTTCTGGGCTGATTCCTCACCGTTCTCATGATCATTGCAACTCCACGAGGTGAGATCTTGCATGGAGCCCCAGGCCGAGGGAGATTGACAGTTCATTTGTGTTTCTTCCATTTGCGAATAATCGCACCAACTATTGTCACCTTCTCACCAAGCTGCTTGGCAATGGTCTTGTAGCCCATTCCAGCCTTGTGTAGGTCTACAATCTTGTCCCTGACATCCTTGGAGAGCTCTTTGGTCTTGGCCATGGTGGAGAGTTTGGAATCTGATTGATTGATTGCTTCTGTGGACAGGTGTCTTTTATACAGGTAACAAGCTGAGATTAGGAGCACTCCATTTAACAATATGCTCCTAATCTCAGCTCGTTACCTGTATAAATGACACCTGGGAGCCAGAAATATTTCTGATTGGAGTGGCCTAGCCAGTCTCCAGACCTTAATCCCATAGAAAATCTGTGGAGGGAGCTGAAGGTTCGAGTTGCCTTAATGACTTGGAGAAGATCTGCAAAGAGGAGTGGGACAAAATCCTTCCTGAGATGTGTGCAAACCTGGTGACCAACTACAAGAAACGTCTGACCTCTGTAATTGCCAACAAGGGTTTTGCCACCAAGTACTAAGTCATGTTTTGCAGAGGGGTCAAATACTTATTGCCCTCATTAAAATGCAAATCTATTTATAACATTTTTGACATGCGTTTTCCTGGATATTGTTATTATTCTGTCTCTCACTGTTCAAATAAACCCACCATTAAAATTATAGACTGATCATTTCTTTGTCAGTGGGCAAACGTACAAAATCAGCAGGGGATCAAATACTTTTTTCCCCTCGCTGTAGTCCTTCCCACGCACCTCCGATTAGCACGGTTGGCTCCGTACGGTGTGAAAAAAGTTCAACGCACATACGTACACATTATGCCCGAGTCAAGCAGCTACCTCGCGGAGTGGATAAAATGAAGAACCACGTTGCAAGAAGTCGAGAGGGCGATCGTCCCTCTAGCCGAAGAAAGCGGCGCAACAACAGCGCAAACTGTGAGAAACGTGTACGGCTGCTCGTCAAGATGCCAGAGTCCATTGCTTGCGCTGCGTTGCGGCCTCAAAGGGCACCGTCGGTCTCTCATCTTAGATTAGGGAGTGGGCCCGAAGTGGCCGGGGCGGCGCGGGGGCAGCGCTCCGCGTGTCAGAATGCCGAGTCAGCGCCGCCGAGACTGATCGCGTTCGAACACCGAGTGCCGCGCTCCCAGGCGATGTCAATAAAGTGCTCTCACGCGTGCCGTACGCGGGAGCCCCTCTGTCCGGCAGGCAAAGAAACCACCCCCCCCCCCCCCCCCCCCCCCCCCTTGGTAAACGTTTGCTTTCCCATTCAAGTCCTCGGCTTCTCGCGTGAAGACGCCACTCATTCATTATACAATCAAGTGCTTGCATGCACACAAATGAACCACAATACCTCGCTCATCTCGTCAAGGAGCATAAACCATCACGCAAACTCGCGGTCATCCTCGCAGCGGCTTTTTGGCTAGCCATCGAACAAAGAAGGTCACTGCGGCCGTCTGGAATGCTCTTCTTACATTATTAGGAAGCCACTGGGGCTACGCAATTTCAAATCTAGATTGAAAACTCATTTCATTCGAACTGTTTTGTGTGTTTACTTTGCTGACATTTCCCCCCCCCCCCCGCACCTCCGATTAGCTCGTTTGGCTACGTACGGTGCGAAAGAAGTTCAACGTGCATACATATATTCTGGGTATCATCACAATTGATGATCCAGCACTGGCTGATTCACTCCCACTGTTCGCTCACCGGCCACACACGAACCATGGCAGAAGCGGATATTTGATGCACGAATGGAGAACGTAAAACTCTCAGGTGCGCGCCTGTGGTCACCCAGCAAAGAACCGTGGAACATCCAACGACTCAACGCTTGATTCACAACTAGGAAGGAGGCCTCATCGCAGCGATACGCCA